TATTATTATTATTATTATTATTATCGTGCAACTTACTACTCCATCTGATAGACAGGTGGAATTATGGCTAGAAGTTCGTATCTAAGGTAGTACTTCAACATCCCTGTAACTTCAACCTGATGACCAAATGCAATGACAGCTAGGAGCTCTTCGTCTGTTTTTGGAAGAGAGAAGCGAAACCCTGGAATTTGCCTGGCAGATAAACCAAGGTCTCTAGCCATAACACCAAAATATGCATCATCTGTATGGAAAGGTTTCCTGATGAACTGAGTATAGTGGAAGTAACTAGGAAGCATGTCAGTGGAGACGACTTGAAATGATCCCTGCGAAAATGGAGGAAAATTTGTCTCGTTATAAACCTCTTTGGGAAGATACCACTGCAATCTTGGATCGCGAACAACAGTCAATATCTCATGCAAATATCCTCCATAAAACCTCGTTGGCAATTCGGCTGGACCTGCCAACCATTCCACCAGCCTTGGAACTCGGATATACACGTCATCGTCGGCCTTGAGAATATATTCACAATTCAATCTGAAGTACGCCCAATAATGAGACATAAAAGTCTTAATCACCACGTTCTTGTAGGTGTCGGTAAAGTTACCAATGAGTATATCGTTGTACTTTAATGCTTCCCGTCGGATTTTAAGATCAACGGCGGTATTTTTGCTGATTCCCAAAGCGAAAAACACTCTCCATCTAGGTTGTATTTCACTAGAAGCTCCCCAAGTCTTTCTGATAGCCATTCGTCGAAGCAGATGTTGCTCATCAGCAGATGCCGAGTTCACAAACACAGCAATAAAAAGCTTCCTGTCTTCACATGAAATATTTGGTTCAACGTGTGGGATAACAAGTGGAAACTTGGTCGGTCCATTTGCAGAAGTTCCAACAAATTTTCGAAAATACGAGCAGTTCTTAGAATTGCTRCGGTTTATTGATTTGGTAGAAGGTAAAGATAGCAATGAAAAGGTAAAAATAGCAATGAAAAGCCAACCACAAACTAGGATAAAAATCGGTTTTCTCATTCTTGTGTTAAACAGCCAACACCATCTTCGGCGAGAACAGTGAAATACCATAGCTGATAACGGACCTCTTAGTCACGAAGTTAATACCGATACAAGTATTTTACATTCGACGCGAGGTTGTCCTAGCCTCTTCAAAATGAGTGACGTATGAAAGGGACCACGCTTGGACACCTGTGACTCAATAAAATATCTCTGCTGGTTTGGCACTTCAACATAAGCATAGATATAAGCATAACTAGAAACATAGTACACCTTTTGCTGTTCGTTTACGCCAAAAGGACATTTATTTTCGCTTTAAACAATAGAAGACCGAATTCGAAAAGATCGTACGGAATGTGAATTCCTTTTGTGTGCTGAACGTCTTGCATCCCGAAGGGTGTTAAATTACATGCACGCATTCACATAGCATAACATTTGCAAGTTGCTTCAATTAATTTGATCTATCCAAAGTTCATCAGTGGCTTGCTGCAAACAAGCTCACACTTAAGAGCGTTCATGCGGGCAAAAGTTCCCATCGTCAAGTTTTTTTGGCATATTATGTGCCAAACTGGGCATTATGCCGTTATTAAACGGACGCCTTTTAATTGCATGTGTATTATTAGTAACGTTCAATAGCATTCGTTGATGATCAACGAACAAACAATAGTATCATTCGACAATCAAGGACGACAGTGAACATTTAAACACGCGCGCGCAATTGACAATCATTGACAACAAACGAAAATCAATAACATCATCTAACAATCATAAGTTAAAAAGAGA